GAATTACATGGCCCATTTACTCAAGCCTGCAACCTGGCAGCCATTCTTTATTTTCTCTCACTGTTTCTTATATCCAAGTAGTCTGCAAGCCCTGTTGATTCCATCTCCAAACTAGATTTTAAAATTCTTCCACTTTTCTTTGTCTTCACTGACACCATTCTATTCCAGGCCGACACGATCCCATTACTGAACTACTGTGTATTTTCCTGTTTCTAATTTTGTTCCCCATAGAATCCATTTTTTTTCACCTGGTAACCAGAGTGGTCTTTTACAAAATGAAAGCCAGCTTAAAACTGTTCATTGAATTTCTGTTGTACTTGGAATAGAGTCCGAAATCCTTAAGTGCTTGGTCCAGCTGGCCTGTGTCTACCTTACTAAAAACGTCTTTTCATGCGCCTCTTCTGACTTTCTCAGTTACAGCCACACTTTGTATTTCCTCCTCAGATCAGGCTCTTTCCTAACCTCAGCGTTTTTACAGTTGCTGTGTTCTCTCATTCTAGGTCTTTCTTTTGCTTCTTTTGCCTTAGCTTGTCACCTTCTTTTAAAAAATAACTTTATATACTCCTTTAATGAGAATAGTGTTACCGTCTTTAAAGTAGTGAAATTCCTACCCCAGCCTATTATCTTTTATCTCTTATGGACTTCTTTTTGCTTAGCACCTGATACCTCCTGCCTAGCAAAGTACTTTGCACATAGTAGCCACTCAGAATTGGCTGAAAAAAATGAATCATTATGGAGATTAACAGAGCCAAATGCAAAAGGTATCAATATTTTAATAAGTGGGAATATAGAAGTGGGTGTTGTCTTTTTACATATAGTTCCCAAATTTTCTGTAATGAGCTTTTATAAACTTGAAAACAAACCATTTTAAAAATGAAAATATGCCTTCCTACTAATAATTTTGTCGACTTTAATCTTCTTAGACTCATTTATCATTTTTTGTTGATTAGTTTTTCATACATTTTTCATTTCATTCTCTTAAAGGTTTAAGAGGTATTAGTTTAGATAATTAAAAGCAACAGAATCACAAAAGAATATTAATATTTTCTTTATTTTGTAGTGTCTTAATTTTTCTCCTTTTCCAACTACCTGTAGTCTTTCAAATTTCATTTCCCACAGAGCTGTTTAGTACCTTTTTTCTATGCCTTTGATGACTTAGCCTTTTTTTGAACCTTGCCTAATTTCTGTTGTGGGAGTTATGTAGGTTTTTTTTTCTTTTACTTTTTTTTTTTTTTTGAGATGTATGACTACAGCCAAGCAGCATTTAATGTGAGGGTGCTCTTGATGTCCTGTCATTATTGTAACTATTTTTTTCTTACCCACAAATTATAAATAGAAATGTAATTATTGTCTGAACTTGGCTTTGTAGGGGAAAAAAAATATTAAGGAAATTTTTTTAGGGGAGCCTTATTCAGTTTGTTCTGTATAGTAATCAGAGGAAGATCAACATGCTTTGGCGAAAAGTGTATGTTGATTTCTGTTTGTGTATGATAGCTTACAGCATAAATGTCTGGTTGCCTAAATAGGAGTTGAACACAGAAACAGTACTGATTAGTTCTCTAAATTCATAAATGAACTGTTTAAATTTATATAGACATTTTCACATTCCTAATCCAGAATTTTAAAGATCTTACTGTTTATTCCAAATTGTCCTCATTTAAGAGTGTGATGATTGACATGAAGTATTATGCAGCTATACATAGGAAGAGAACTATTTTTGTATACTTCTATGGAGTGATCTTAGAGGTAGATAAGTGAGAAAAGCAAAGTGGATGGAGTGTGAAATATCCTAGTGATTAAGAAAAGGGGAGGGGATGTGAACGTGTGTCCATTTATGTTAAAACTGAAACCAAAGGCTACAACTTAGGTTGCCTCTAAGGGAGGAGTGGATAGGTAGAGTGACGTACGCCTCATTCTGTGGATTCACCTTTGGAACCATGTGAATATTTTATGCAGTGAGATAACAATTTAAAAAACAAAGCTAAAAATTGAAAATAAAATGAAACAATTTACTTTAGTGTATATCCTAGTGGCAGCAGTTCTCAGAATTTGATTGTGTTCAATACACTCCTGTGTTGATATTTGCACCGACGGTGCCAAAGCACTGTAGGTAGAACTGTTTATGCCGTAATAGAAGTCATCATAATGGCACCAAATTGTACCCAGTAGTCATTGCATTTGTCACTGCCGCATTCTTGCAGTTAAAATGGTTTTTTTTTTTAAGAATTTCCTTGATGAAACAGTTGAAATGATTAATTTTATAGAATCTTGATTTTTAGATACATGTCTTTGTGATATTCCATGTGACAAAATGGGAAATAAGCATAAAATAAACAAAATATTGTGGTTTTTAGAGAGAGCCTATGCGCAGTTGTTTCGAATTGTTTTGAATTGTGAGCGAAACTGGCTGGTTTTTTTTTTTTTTTTTTTTCATGAAACACTATTTTTACTTGAAAGACTGATGAATAACTGTTCAGAATTGAGATTTGGCAGACATTTTCTTGAAAATGAATGAAATGATTACTACTATTTGTTGGGAATGGTGGACTTTGAACTTTTAAGCAAAAATTAGAATCTAATAAAATTAGTAACCATTATGGCAACTTCCCGATATTTAAAACTTTTCTGATGAGATTGGTGGTGATAGTAATGAATTTGATGTATCAGTATTGTATAATAAAATATCAACATTTAGTGAATCAGTATTTCCAGATGATCATGATGTTAAAAGAAATTCCAAGTAGAAGATGGACTTATTCCAAGTACAAGACAGACTGACAAGTTTTAATTTTGACAAGAGTATGAATTTTTTATTTATGTGGTTTCAGATTTCATATTACAGCAGACTTATAAAAAATGACCACTTGTTGAATTTTCGTATACTATCAAAGAAGAATATCCATAATCTGAAAGAATGTTAAAATCTTTTTTAACACCTAAATATCTATGTGCGTTAAGTTTCACATACTTCAATAAAAATAACATCACAACAGATCATATGTAGAATGAGGATTCAGCTGTCTTATATTAAGCTAGATAGTAAAGAAATTTGCAAAAATGATAATATTCCTTTTACCTCTTAATTCTCTTTTGAGGAGTGGTTTTTTAAGTAAAATATGTTAACATGAATTTACTGTTATTTTAAAATTAATAAACATTAAAAATTTTCAGTTTTAATTCCAAATATGGTAATGATAGGCATAACAGACATACCAGGTTTTTGAAGACCTCAATACTTTTTATTTTTAAATTTTTTATTGTAAAATATCCATAACATAAACTATTTTTAAATATCTTTGTGTACAATTTAGTAGATTTAAGTACAGTCACAATGTCTGTAACCATCCATTTGCAGAACTAGATTTCCAGAACTAGAACAAATTCTAGAGATTTTATATCTAGTAGAATTGTACAATATTTATCTTTCTGTGTCTGATTTATTTCACTTAGCATATTTTCAAGGCTCATCTGTTACAGCATATATCAAAACTGTATCCGTTTTTATAGTTGAATGACTTCTATTGTATGTATATGCCATATTTTGTTTATTCATCTTCTCTTTGCTCCTGGTTACAATATAGGAGCATTTGAAAATGTAACTGTTACTTTGGAAGACCAGGAGCTGTAGGCCTAAAAAATAAAAAGTAAGGGATTGTAAGATGACAAGGTCCTTGCAATCTGTGAGGTCAACCAAGGGTTGCCTCACCTAAAAACGAAAAATTAAAAAATTAAAAAAATTAAAAAATGAAAATGTTAACTATTAATCATTGGTAACTTAAATAGCAGACTTACTGATTAAATAGTAAATCATGTGATTTGGAATATAGCTATGTATAGAACATGGATTATAAAGCTCTATTCCCTTCTATTTTTTATAATCTGTGGAAGAAGAAATTCAACCTAGTATTCGAAATCCTGAGTCATTAACTGAGGTAACCATTAGTCACTTAACTCTCTATTTCCCCATAATGTTAACAATACTGGCTTTATAAAGGTTAATGTCATTGAAAGTATAGCTTTGTTTTTTTATTTATTAATAATTACCTGCATCAAAGTCATTCTTCCTCTAAGGTTATATTATAGTTCTGTTTCAGCTTTATTGAAGGCTGTGTCAGTCCTGCTATCCTATAAATTTACTGTTTTCTTTATTGACCTGGAACCTAGCACAGTGGCTGGTACCTAGTAGGTGCTCAGTAAATACATACGGACTCAGTGAATGTTCTTAGCTGTACAGTTACATTCTTGTATGATTTTGTAGATTATATTCCACTAAGGTCATCCATTATTTGTAGGTGTTACTACTTTAATTCTCATAAGGTACTCTCATATTGAGTTTCTTGAATTTTATTTAACTTTATACTTTATTTAACTTTTTCCTATATACTAACTAATGTTACGCTTTGGCTTTTATAAGTCTTAACACTGAAAAGTTTTCAACACTCTTGTGCCATGTTTTTTGTTTTGTTTTGTTTTGTTTTAAACTTTTATTTAGCTGTAGAGCCAACATATTAGTGAAGGCAGTCATTTCCCGGCTTCTGTGCTTATGAATCAGATTGTAACTATTTTTTGACTTCATATTTGTGGTTTCTTGAACTAATTTAAGTGATGCAAAAGATGAGTCTCATTAGGCGTATCCTCTTTTAAAAGTGTCTTTGGTGTCTTATTGTAAACAGGTTTTCTCCAAGGAGACTTTTCTCTGCACCCTCACGTCATCATCCATTTAGGAATGAAATCCCATCTGTATGCACTGGTCCCTACATATTTTATTACTTGTTACTCATATGCGTGTTGGTTTTTACTTGTTTGTTTTTTTTTTTTCAAAATGTTCCTAGAGGTTTTGAAGTAACTCCATTCTGACTCAGTCTTTTGCTAATTACTGGATATTTTCCTTCAGGTTACCCTCCACCCGCTTTGGGACTTGTAAATTCTTACCATTCTATTGGTTCCTTCTGGCCACTGAGTACATGAGTCAGTGTCACATGCATGTGGTATTGCTTGTCAGAGAGTGGAATTCTAAGACTTCCTCTTTACATGGAACAGTTTAACTTTTGTGCTTGTGGGCAAAGGCATGGTCCTCGGGACAGTTCTGCTTCCACCTAATAATTATGGCAGAGATCAGGACACGTCGCTTTGCTGCCTGTGCAGTGAAGCCTCAGAAGCTGCTCTACCCAACTCGACAGGTATGATTCAGAGGTGATAGTTTGGGGGACGGGGTGGGGGGGAGATAATCACAGCACTCAAGTGTGCATGGAGATTTCAAAAACTTAATCCTATCTACTGGTATCATGAAGTTTCATGTGTTTTTTTTTTTCCTGGTATTTTACAATACTTGTTGAAAAAAAAGAATAAATAATATGTAGCATTTTGTGGTATTAAGATACATATGGCTTAATATGAATAATTTAAGCTGTATTTTGAGAATTGTTGACTGATTCATCCAATCAACAACCTTACATAGTTTTTAAAAGAGGCATTAAAAAGTATTAGCTTCTTAGAGAATATGCAGTCAGGTTAAGTAGAATTCTGGCAAGAGAAGTGTTTGTAAAATATTTGGAAATGCCTAAGCTAAAAATTTTGTACATTAATTTTTCCAATTACTACCTAACACATTTCTAATTAAAGTGATGAAAGTTATTGAAAGACTAATTGGTAAAAAGTGTTTTTAATAAAATTAAACATTAAATTTAGCAATTATCTCTGAATTTGAGTTTGAGTCTTACTCTGGATTTTAACTTGTTTAATCCTGGCAGTTTACTTTGTACAAGCTGCTATTTCTGTGTTTAGCCTTATTTTTATTGTATCCCACAAGTGTTTCAGTAGAAAAAGTAATAAAACTACCTTTTCTTAATAGTCATAATGGATTTCTGCTACCTGGGTCCTGTATTCCATAAATGAAAGTCAGTCTTCTGTTGTCTTAAGTGCATGGTCTACCTCTGTAACAATGCTTAATGAAAGATCAGCTCACTCAGTTACCTAATGTATAGTAGTCACTTCACATTGTTCAGAAATGAAACTTTCCCAGCCTACACACTTGCGTTTGGACGGGCGCAGTGCGTCTGAATCATCCAGATGTTTCTGTTTTAACCCGATGGAGAAAAGGGTGTAGACTGGATCCACTCATAACACTGTGACATTTACTTGCCTGTAGGATTTCTTTTTGGACTTTCTGCCTTTATTCCGTGCTTTGGTCTCCCCCATTTAGTTCTTTAACTCTGTGATTTTATATGTATTCATTCTTGCCTCAGGAAAATGTTAGGATTTTTTTTGTCTTGGAAACATTTCCCTTTGTTTTGTGCTAGTGGGTAGGAAGGCGTTTCAGTGGATATCCTGTGCAGACAGATTGTATAGGAAGCTGATCCTTAGTTCTGTCAGAACAAAAGAGTGAGAAGAAAGAAAGGGAGGAAGTTAAGATCTTTGACTTGACCCGAAAATTATAAAACCAGAGATGGATGGGAAGAGGGGGAGTGGGAAATAAAAAAAGTTGTTTACCGACTTGTGGTTCTTTTAGTACTTTGGCCTCAAAAATTACTTCTATCCTGTATTATTTTGTATATTTGAGAAATGTACTGTAGTTTGTTCTGAATATATCTTTATGTAAAATTGTGCTGTAGGTCTCAGTCTCTTCTCCTTTTGTCAAATAGCGTGGTTTTTAAGAAGCTGCCTTGCCTTTAACAATCTTCTTGTGAGCTTGACGACGTTCCTCCTCAGTGCAGATGAACTGCATGTCATAGGCATGTCCTTGCACGTTGACAGCCTGCCACTCTGCTGTCATCAGTGCAGAATTCCTGCTCATCCAGCTTAAATGTGTTCTCTTCTGTGAAACCTTTTCTGACCCCGGAGCTTCGTTTTCTACTCTGTTCTCTCAGAGCATCCTCTCTGTGTGTAGCAGTGCTCACAGTCCGTTTAGTCACCAGCCTTTTCTGAGAGCATCATGTACACGCACGAGTCTGAGCTCTTGGGATTTATCAGTGAACAAAGCAGACTGGACTCACTGTATAGAACTGATACTCTGGCTGGGGGAGTTAGATTAATATCTGTCCATATAGAACTGATACTCTGGCTGGGGGAGTTAGATTAATATCTGTCCATATAGAACTGATACTCTGGCTGGGGGAGTTAGATTAATATCTGTCCATGTAGAACTGATACTCTGGCTGGGGGAATTAGATTAATATACATGAATAGAGTAATAAGTAAATTGTATATTTTGTGGTAATGGGAGCTGTGGAGAGGAATAAACTGGGAACGGAGACATGGGGGAGGTGGGAGTACTGTCAGGAATGGATATATTTTACAATAGGACAGGCGAGAATGCCGTACCAAGAAGGTAATGTTTGCGTGAAGTGTCCTGTGGGTATCTTGGGAGGAATGGTTCAGGCAGGAGGTAGAGCCAGTGCAAAGGTCCTGAGGCAGGAGTGTACATGCCTCCCTTGTTCAACTAACAGCGGGAAGGCCAGCGACCAGAGTGAGGTAAACCAGGGGAGGACGAGTAGGAAGATGAATTGAGCGAGACAAGTTGTAAAGGGCCCGGCAGGCCCTTGTGAGGAGTTCAGCTTTTACTCGAAGATTCAGGGAGCCTTCTGAGAATTTCAAGCAGAGTTTCAAGTAACACAATCTGACTTATGCTTTAAAAACTGGCTGATGTGTTGAGACTAGACGGTAGAGAGCAAGGATAGAACTGGAGATCACGAGTCTCGTGAAATAATCCAGGTGAGAAGTGATGGTGGCGACCGGGCGGTGGCAGGGGAGGGGATGAGAAATGAATAGATTCCGAGTGCGTGTTTGAAGGCAGTGCCAGTAGGGTTTCCTGAGGGATTGGATGTGGTATGTGAGAGCGAAAATGGAACCATGAATGATTCCGAGGACTTTTGTTTTTCCACCCAGCTTTATTGATCATCAACATATAAGATTATGTAAGTTTGTTTATATCATATTGATTTGATATACTTGTGTATTGCAAAATAATTACCAATGTAGCCTTAGCTAATACGTGCATCACATCACATAATTACCATTTCTGTGTGTGTGTGTGTGTGTGTGTGTGTGTAGAGAGAACATTTACAATCTAATCTCTTAATAACTGTCAAGTATGTAATACAGTATTGTTAACTATAATCATTATGCTGTACATTGGATCCCCAGGACTGACTTACAGCCAGAAGTTTGTACCTTCAAACTTTCAACGTTTTGGCCTAAGCAACTAAATAGATGGAATTGCCATTAACTGAGATGGGGAATTCTGTGGGAGAAGCAGATTTGGAGGAAAGAATGGAAAGTAGTTTTCTTTTATAGGAAGTCCAAATAATGGTTTATAATCTTTATATTCTGAAGCTCAGCATGATATCTAGTGTACAGAAGATGTTCAGAGTTGCCTTCAGTGTCTGCTTGATTACTGTCTCTGACTTGGTCATTTCATCGATAGTACAAAAGTGTGGTTACCCTTGGTTTCTGTTCCTCTTATAATTTCAAACAAGGGAACTTCTACTTAAAAAGAAGGAAATGTACTTGAACTGTTTGATAATTATTAAACAGAGTAATAATCAACAAAATACTGTAATGCATTACTACCACCACTGGTAAGAAACATTTATCAGCATGGATCATGTTATATTTAGTATAAAACCTAATAAATATTATGAATATTCTCTGTACTTATTTTGGCAGTTCTTTTAATAAAGGATTGGCAGTTTGTAGCCCAATGGAAATTCTGCTAGAGTAGATAATTTTTCATTAGAATAAAGAAAAACAGTACATGTAGCCAGTTCATATAACATGGTGCTTTGTTTGTTTCGTTATCCTAATTGGTTCTTGGTATATAATAGAACCGTTCCTATTCACTATAACTCTGCCTTTAAACAAAGAGCAACACGTCTGTTTCAAATTAACTTGTCAGAACATGTGGACATATCTTTAGGTTTGCTGTAATATTCTTAATGTAAGACAAAATTTAATTAGCTGTAGAATTTTAAAGATATATTCCTTTTAAGAAGAGAAAGGAATGTAATGAAGTGAAATAAGCTCTAAAATTGGTAGGAGAATGACAGATCCAACCTACAACAGGAATTTCTATCTGGTTCATGTAGACAGTTATGAAGACATTTTTAAAACATTGGTTAATGCTATTTTAAGATCATCATTTCCCATCACTTACATTTTTGTGTAATTTAGTCATTCAGTTAACAGTTATTGAACACATATTATGTAACTCTTGCTAGAAAAAAAGGTACTATTCTTATGGCAAAAAGAGCACATTGTGAAATTAGGTAAACAAACATGAATTGGGGATATTGTAAAGATAAAGATAGAGGGTATTTAATGCAGCGAGTGTAACGCTCTTGAGACCACAGAGGAAGAGCATGCGATGCTTCCTAGGGGAGGTTATATTGAAGCCGAGTGTTATAAAAAGTGGAAGTCAGCCAGACATTCAAAGAAAGGGTAGGATGAGATGACATTCCAGGTAGACAGGACAGTATGAACAAAGGCAAAAAGGAAGCATCGTGGTGTATGTGAGTTTAAAATTTGAGGCACGGAGCGGGGACCTGACCCTAAAAGCCCTAGCAGGCCTTGTTAAGAGATTTTAGCTTGATGGTGAACTATTGAAGAATCTAAGAAGAGTGACGTGGTCGAATTTTTGTCTTGAATAGATCACTTTGCCAGCTGTGTGGAGGATGCATTTGAGGGAGACAAGACTGGAGGCAGTAGTCCAGGTGAGAGACATGGGGGTCCGAACCGAGCATGGGCAGTAGGGATGGAGAGGAGCGACTGGATTTGAAAATAAATGAAACCACAGATTAGACAATTTTTCTCCTTCAAATGTGGTAACACCGATCTTCAATTTGAGTGGAGGGGAGGGAGAAAGAAAAGTGTCGTTGTGTCCCACGGGCCATTAGTGGCATGCGGCTGCTAAAACAGCCCCAGTGGTCAAGGACATCAGTGCTGGAGGGACAGTGTGTTTTCTCTGTGATTGACCTGGGCTGTAAGAAGCAGGCGATCCTTACCTAAGATGGCACAGGGATCACCTGGTGTGTAGTACAATTGAACTTAGGAAGCACACCACCTTGAAGAAACCAGGTCAGACAAGGCTTCAGCCTTTCTATGTGGTAGAAACTCAATAAATGTTCATTATTGGTGATATTTTCTAGAGCCTTCAATTATTTTATTTTACAAACGTGCACCACCTGGGAAAAGAAAATACGGTAATTTTTTTTCCATTAAAACATCGCAAGCTATTATATAGACAGTGCACGGTAATACAAGGATGTTTTGGAATGCCAAGAATCTTTCGTATTGAACCCAAACATTTTTCTGTTGTTTAACAGGTAGTTTTAGGATTTTTTTTTTCTAGAAGCACTATTTCTACATGTAAATGGAGGGTCTGATTTTATACAATCTGTACTTCCTAAAATCTCTGTTGTCTTTTCCACAATCTGTTTTATATGGAGAGAGTAAGCGAAGGAGGGTAGTTTGGGAGGATTTATAATACATAACTGTTCCTTCTTAAAACCACCACCACCACAATAAAATGTCTTGTATGTTTTATAAAATGAATTGCCATTTCTTTTCGAGACTTCTTTTTTTTCATTTTGAGAAAACTGCTTTTCCTATTAATTTATTTCAGATTTTGGTGAATGCATATAAATCACAGCTAAATGCTCATTTCGTGTTCTTTTCTCTGTCTTCTTATATTTCCAACAAGTAGACTTCTCTCATTCTTCGTGATTCCACAACTCTGCAGTTATGTTCTACCCTGGAGCCGTCAGTCCATGCCAGCGACTGTCCGCACACTGAGATACCATGCGTGTGCTGAATGCGAATGAATTTCCAACTGTTGGACTTACTGTGAATTCCCTTCTCTTTTTATGTCTTTCAGAAACTCTCCACCGCCCCTATGGTTGTGATGTTGAACCCCAGGCACTGAACGAAGCCATCAGGTGGAGCTCCAAGGAGAACTTGCTGGGAGCCACTGAGAGTGATCCTAATCTCTTTGTTGCACTTTATGATTTTGTGGCAAGTGGCGACAACACACTAAGTATCACTAAAGGTGAGCTGTGTAACATCCCCTCACTTTTCAGTTTTCATTGGTGGTTAGGAAATAAAGAGTCTGTTCTAGATTCTGCCTCTAAATTAGCTAGGTGATTCGAGCCTAGATAGTTTTGGTTCATAATTGTCTTTTTAACCTGTGTAATGGATGATGCCACTTTGTCTACTTTAAGGATAAAATGAGATAAAGTACTTTAGAAAAACACTACACAATATATACATACACTTTCTTCATTCTCAGAATTCCATACCATGTGTAATATGCCAGCGTCTGCCACAGAGGTAAGGTAAGGTTTACTGTACACCTCCGCTCAGTGACCGTGGCTCGCCGAGATGGGTCACATTGCCCGACTCCATTGCTACTGAGAGCATCATCTGTGATTCACTGCCTGTCTGGGAACAGTTTACCAGTTTGCAGTGCGATTAAGAGCTTGCATCCAAAATGTAAATCAGCTACATCCCTAAGTGCACTATTTAGTTTAGCTGACATTTTCTTGTTTTGAAGCAAGACTTTCAGCATGAAGAAAGTCATCCAGTGAGTCACAGGCTGGCACAAGCAGCTTGTCCTCCGGACCTGCTGTGAGTAGTCCTGGCCTAGACCACTTCTCTCTGGAGTTTATGTGGGTTAGCGAAAGGGATAGGCAGGGCTTCTGTTGTAATACTCTCAGGTTAGTACTTTATTTCAATAGTGAATTCTTATAAAGGGGAACAGAAAGAACATGACCAAGTGAAATCATCCACTATTGGTTTTTTGAACAAGGACAGAAAATATAGAACTTTCGAAAGAAAGAAATGAGTATAGGACATTGTCATTGGGTACATGAATCGGACTGGTCATTTGCCTAAGCTTATTCTTATCTTTTGAAACTATGAAAGCCTTCTGCTGGGAAAAAATATATTTCAGGATGATATTTAACTAAATGAAATTGTGATTTAAGCGATTATTTATTTGTAAAGTTTAGATGAGGTGTTAAACGGGAGTGGAAATGCCGAATTAAGACAGGCCTCCACTCAAGGAATGTCACCCTTCATTAAAATTTTTACATCAGTTTTTAAAATCCAGCAAGATTAGTCAAAAGCAGAAATCTCTAAAACTGAGTTTCTCAAACTGGATTATAGATAAGTCCCGGAGTAGATGTGATGACATGTGTGCATGTGCCAGATTTCAAAGGCATGGGGCCAGTAAAGTTACCTCCTGGTGTTAGTTTACTTCAAGATGGCAGGTAGTTTTGGGGGTGGGATGGTGATGATGTTTGTATGTGTGTGGGGTGTGTGTTTATGTATTGGAGGGACATTTTACCACAAAGTTTTAGGGTAAAACAAAAGGCCTTCAGAGAAATTTTATACTTTGCGATAGTCTCTTTGGACTGCAATACATTCTTATACCTTTATTGACACGTCAGTGGAGAAGTTTGTGACGCGATAACTCAGAACATTGTTTACTAGATATTCTTTGCATGTCAGTATTCTCCAAGGCAGCTCAGTCACCACGGAAACAGTGCTACGGTCTGATTCCTCAGTTGCCAGTTACGGCGGCCACAAGCTACAGCTCAGTGGTGGGGTTCCCTTTGCCTTGTGGCCAGTGGTGATTGCCCTTAAAACCCACGAAATGCCAGATATTTGTTTCAGGTTCTTATTAATATAAAATGATGTCATTCTAAAGGTTTTTTTATTATTATTTTCAAGGCAAGATAATCTATTTTAAAAATAAAATTATAATATTTGATTTAGTTCCTTTGTCTTTGAAAATAATATTTTGCTTGAATTAAAAAAGTTCCCCCAGGATTCCTCTGCCAGTGGGGCCTGCGTTTATATCCCGACGGGTCCATTCCCCTGTCAGCTCCCACGGTTCTCAGACATCCAGAGTGGAAAGTGCTTCTAACGGCCAGAAAGTGAGGAAAACAAAAGCTCACAGTGTTTGGATCCTAATTTTGATGACCTGTTATTACCAGTTCTTTATAAGGAAGCAACAGTAATATACTTAATAAACTACTCAGTTTTTACTTCTAGTTCTTGCGGATTAAGAGAGAAAAGCTACAGAGCAACACGTTTTATTTTGTTTTTGTAGCAGCACTGAGCTTTTTTTTTCCTGCAGATGTGGTTGAGGAATAGTCACACGTGCGTGCATTTCCACCACCACAACACCCACCACATGCCTGTATTTCTGTACTTGTGTATATAAAATGTGTATGTGCATAAGATGTGTGAGCACATACACTCGTGTTTTTTCTCATTAAATATCTCATATCCACGTGTCTTGGGTGAGATAGTAGAGGCCAATAGAAAGTTGTCCCATGGTACACATTTCTTCAGGCCACTGAAAAAGGTTAGATGGTTGCCAGAATGATGATTTTGTCTTTCCTCAAGAGCCTTTGCCTGGTAGCAACTTTGGTTGATTTGGCTGTTTTCTGCTTTCTGCTGCTGAGAAGTGGGTGTGAACTCTGCAAGGGTCGCCTCTCTCAGAGGTGGGGGCCTGAGGCCTTATCGGAATTCTTTAGATGATCAGTCATTACGAATGATGTCTCTCACCTTCCCTGTTTTGTCTGCTGCAAGGTAGGGGCAAGGTGTGTGTGGACGGAGTCTAAAGTGGGTGTTCAGGGCTCTCACGGAGCAGTCAAGGACATTGGCGTGGATAGCAAGTCTCGCTTCCAGTGTCACACTCAGCTTTCTTTCCCACACACTAGAGGGATGGATGGGAGTGATTCATTCATGGAGAATGTGAGGGGAACTGGGAAACTAACTATTTTAAAACTTGAGTCCTAGGTGAGATTGTGCTTTGGGAGCCCTCAGTGCTCACCTCCCATTTCCCCAAGAATTCTTTTCTGAAAACAGTGCTGAAAGCTGTGTGGTCTGTGCTTTTGTTTTGTTTTGTTTTGTTTTGTTTTGTTTTGTTTTGTTTTGTTTTGTTTTATGTTGATAGTTTAGTTGCCTTGGTGCCAAGAGAAATTTAGAAGTAATGTATTTCACGTGGCTTATCCCTAATCTTCGATTGTTTATTAGCGTTGAACCATGTATAAGGTACATTCTGACAAACTGTTTTAGGGAGAAAAGTGAATTTTATTCTCCTGTGTCATTTTCCAGCCATTTGAGTAACCTTTCTGTCTCTGTGTTCCACCTCGCTACCGTACACGCAGTTTCCTAAAAACGTTTTTTAATTAGTGTAAAACCTTTAAAAACCTGTAGTAAATGCCAGAAAGCCATTTCTAACTATGCTTCTTTGGCTTAGGATACAAGCTAAAGAGATCAATGAGGATATGATGAACAGTCAAGTTTGTTTTCATTATTTAAAAAAATTTTCTTGGCGTAAAGTTCCTGATTGATTTTTCAGCGAGTTTAAAGTGTGATAATAGATAGCTTTTATTTGAGATGAAGTTTTAACACCTTGCCTTTCATCCTATGATGACTCCGGGGCTAGGTGAAAAGTTACGAGTCCTTGGTTACAACCAGAATGGTGAGTGGAGTGAAGTTCGCTCTAAGAATGGCCAAGGTTGGGTGCCAAGCAACTACATCACGCCAGTGAACAGCCTGGAAAAACACTCCTGGTACCATGGACCTGTGTCACGCAGTGCAGCCGAGTATCTGCTCAGCAGTTTAATCAATGGCAGTTTCCTGGTGCGAGAAAGCGAAAGCAGCCCTGGGCAGCTGTCCATCTCGCTCAGGTACGAGGGTCGTGTGTATCACTACAGGATCAACACCACCACAGATGGCAAGGTAAGCCCTGCAGCCGCCTCTAGGTATGGACTGGCTGCTCTTTAGAAACTACGCTCAAAATGACTGAAGAATGTAGTTTTTTGTCTGACGTGAAATAGAACAATCAGTGACGTGAGTTTGGGCTGTTTGGCATGTTAGAGAGCTTGTTCTTTTTAAAGAGTGTGTTAATGGAAATTTAAAACAGTATATTAATGGTTTAATGATGAGCTACCAGTGAAGGTGAAGAATGAATGATACTGCTGGATAAGTTAGCTGTTCTAATCATCATCGATATACAGATAAACACATATACATCCAATATGTTGTACAGAATTTATAAATTAAACCTTGGGTCTTTGAAAAATGTGATCTCTATTCACAGAGTAAGAACTTAGGCTTCTGGGACTGGTGTTGATTATTAATGTTAATATAAATAGATGAATCAGTCATTTAGCACTTTATATGTTGGAAAGATCAACCATTTTAGAATGGAACTGTTTTACTTTATAAACTATAAAGCAGAGGCCTTTGTCACCTGTTCTATTGAGCAGTAAGTTGAGATCGAATCATTTCTTCCACCCTTTTCCTGTAGTAGGGGAAGGGCACAGGCTTTGAGGCCAGCAGACTTGATTCTCTCTGGAACTCCTCTATTTATTAACTTGAGACCTTATATACACCTCACTTTCCCATCCCATTTTATTGGATTGTTATGAGGTTTAAATGAAATAATTTCTGTAAAGCGTTATGGCTGGGAAATTGGGAATAAGTAGGAAGTAAGTATATTATTAACTGTCCTTCGCACCACCTCACATACGTATTGTCTCTTGACAAAACCAAATGGAATCAGCTTAGTAGTGTGAGAGAGACCCAGCAGCTCTGCCTCTGGTTGCACACTCACAGAGGAGCGCAGATGTGTGCAGACGCCTGTGCAAGAGAGTTCATAGCCGCTCAGTTGTAACAGCCAAAAACTAGAAACACCCAGCTGTCTAACTATAGTAGAATGAATTAATAAATTGTGATGTATTCATTAAATGGAATCTCATACAACAACAAAAATGATCACAGTACTGCTGTGCACATGCCATCAGGAAGAGCTGTGGCCCCCCAGCGGCCCGCTTTTTTAAATAAAATTGTATCGGAATACAGCCATACCCATTTGCTTATGTATTGTCTATGGCTGCTTTCTCATTACTGCAAAGTTGAGTAGTTGTGACAGATGTTGTAGCCACAAGCCTAAAATATTTGCTGTCTGGACCTTCACAGAAAAGTTGCTGGCCCCTGCCGTGGACTAGCTCACACGTGTGAAGCTGAGTGCCTGCGGGAGAATGGGGATGAGGGCGTGGGAGTGACTGCTGATGGGTGTGGGGTTTCTTTGTGGGGCGACGAACAAGTTCTAGGGTTAGGTAGTGGTGATGGCTGGACAGCCTTGTGAATAGACTAAAACCACTGAATTATACGCTTGAAAATAGTGAGTTTTAGGGTATGTGAATTATAGCACAATGCAAAAAGGTTGAGTAAAAGACACAAAGCAATGTGTATTGTACGGTTCCATTTGTGTGCCATTCAGAGGCAGACGAAGCTGCTCTGAGTCTTTTGCAGGAGTCTGTGGCTGGGAGGGCACGGGGGACGCTCCTGGGGTGCTCGTGATGTAGCTCCTGGTGTGGGAGATGTCAGCACGGCTGAGTTTATTCTGTGAGAGTCAGTGATTCCCTACTTATTATTTAGATACTTTACACTATAAAAGATTCTTCTTAAAAAATAAACTAGCTGCCTTGGGAGATAAGGCTGAAGACTGTTTTACTTGACACTTCTTATTGCCAGTCACAAATTAATTACTATTTTGTTAACTCATTGAAATTGTGGCTCTTTTTTAAATGGCCTAGATACCCAGAGCACATTCTAATTAAATGAAAATTATATCTTTGAATACCCTTTCTCTACCAAAAAAATTGAAATCAAATTATTTTCCGTGCAGGATATATGAACTTTTATAGGAGGCCAAGCACCTTCTGGCCTACTTCAGTCAGAGCATCTCTTCCTGTATCTGTCTAATGTGTTTGGGTTCCACAGTCTTCTTGCTTAAAAATATCTGAAGACCAATGATCTTGATGACCCAGAGCGGTGTTTTGAAAGTTTTTCCCCAGGCGAGAGCTGATTTAGGCAGC